TTCACAGGCCATACATAGAACCCTACTGGCCTGCTTGGAATCTCTTTAAGAGTTTTACCTATGTAAGACAAAACTTCCTGTTCGCTACCCCTGCATTCTCTACTTCATTAAAGACTTCAATTGATTAGTAAATGCTGCCTTCTTTAAAAGGTAACTTTGATAATTGGGGTTCATTTTATTCAGGAAGTGTTCCCAACTTTTAGGTGGAGTGTTTTACATTAGGATGTAGTACCTACCTTAACCTCTTACGATAGCTTTACAGTAAGCATTTCCATACCAAAACCTGGGGGGTGTCTATTTGCATAGGAAACATAGTTGAGTAGTATCTGCATGTGGCTTATTTTAATAAGCATGTTATCCAACTCTGGTACTAGGCCCTGGTGTACAAGTTTGTACTTTTCCCTTTAAGTAAAATCCCTGCAAGTCACATGGAAGCATTCCACAATGCAATAGAGGCCCAACTTAAATATATACCCCAAATAAAAAAAAAAAAAAAAAAGCACAATAAAAACGAAAAGATTGCTACTGTGGCTTAACAACCAAGTAAAAGAAGCAGTGAAAGAAAAGCAGCATTTAAAAAGTGGAAGTTAAAGTCTAGTGAGCATAAACTGCTAAATTAAGTGTAAAAAAAATAAGAAAAGCTCAAAAGCCTGGCTGTGCCTTGCACTGCCCCTTTCAGGCACCGCTCCTGCACTTCAAAGGGGCAGCAGTGCACAGAGCAGAGGGTCAGCTGGAGACTCCAGCTAACCCTGGGCTCCTGCAGTGCTGCCCCTTTGAAACACCGCCACTGCTTTTCAAAGAGGCAGCTACACTGAGCCTGGGATCAGCTGAGGACTCCAGCTGATCCCAGGCTTCCACAGTGCTGCCCCTTTGAAATGCTGTGGTAGCATTTCAAAGGGGCAGCATGCGATTAATTGCACAATTAATTTTTTTAATTGTGGAAGTAATTGAGCTTAATGTTTTTAATTGCATGACAGCCCTATTTTTTAAAGTACAATCAGAATCAGGAAGCCTGCTAAACAACCAGTGGGGCCACTGGATAATCAAGATGCTAAAGAAGCACTCAAATATAAGATCATTGCTGAGAAACTAAATGGATTCTTTGCTTTGATCTTCACGGCTGAGGATGAGAGAGAAATTCTAAACCTGAGCCATTCCTTTTTAGGTGACAAATCTGAGGAATTGTCCCAGATTGAGGTGATTTTGGGGAAAAAAAAAAAAACTTAACAGTAGCAAGTCACCAGGACCAGATGACATTTACCCAAGAGTTCTGAAAAGAACTCAAATGTGAGATTGGAGAACTTCACTGTGGTTTGTAACCTATTCTTTGAATCCACTTCTGTAACCTAATAACTGGAAGATAGCTAATGTGATGCCAATATTTAAAAAGAGCTCGAGGTAATCCTGGCAAACAGACCGGCAAGTCTAAGTCAGTACCAGACAAATTAGTTGAAACTATAGTTAAGAATAGAATTGTCAGACACAGATGAATGTCATTTGTTGGGGGAGAGTCAACATGGATTCTGTAAAGGGAAACCATGCCTTACTAGGAGTTCTTCGAAGGGGTCAACAAGCATGTGGACAAGGGGGAATCCAGCATATAGTGTACTTAGATTTCCAGAAAGCCTTTGACAAAGTTCCTCACCAAAGGCTCTTAAATAAAGTTAGTTACGGGATAAGAGGGAAGGTCCTCTCATGGACTGGTAACTGGTTAAGAGACAGGAAAAAAGAGTAGGAATAAATGGTCAGTTTTCAGAGTGGAGAGAGGTAACCAGTAGTGTCCCCCAAGAGTCTGTCCTGGGACCAATCCTATTTAACCTACAAGTTATCTGGAAAAAGGGGCAAAAAATGAGGTGGCAAAGTTTGCAGATACTAAACCTCACAAGGTAGTTAAGAAAAGAATTTCAAAAGGATCTCACAAAGCTGGCAAATATCAATATTAAAATTTCAAACACGAGGTAATGCACATTGGAAAAAATACAAACTACACATTCAAAATGGACTAATTTAGCTATACCTACTCAAGAGAAATCTTGAAGTCATTGTGGCTAATTCTCTGAAAACATCCACTCAATGTTCAGTGGCAGTCAAAAAAAGCAAACTGTTAGGAATCATTAAAGAAGGAGAGACACAGAATATCTTATTGCCTCTATAAATCCATGGTATGTCCACATCTTTAATACTACATACAGATGTGGTTGCTGCATCTCAAAAATGTAATGGCATTGGAAAGGTTCAGAAAAGGATAAGAGTTAGGGATATGGAACAGATGCCATATGAAGAGATTAACAAGAGTGACTTTAGCTTACAGACTAAGGGGGGATATGATAAAGGTCTATAAAATCATGACAGGAATGGAGAAAGTAAATAAGGACACGTTATTTACTTATTCCCACAATAAGAACTAGGGGTCACCCAGTGAAATCAATAGGTAGCAAGTTTAAAAACAAACAAAGGGATGTTTTTCTTCCCACACTGCAGTCAACCTATGGAACTCCTTGCCAGAGGATATTGAAGATCAGGACTTGAACAGAGTTCAAAGAAGAACTAGATAAGCATTGATGGACATAACCTCCATGAATTTATTAGCCAGAAATGGAGTCCCAAGCTTCTGTTTTTCAGGGGCTGGAAATGGATGACAAGGAAGGGAGCACTTGGTGAATATTTGTTCTGTTTACTTCCTTTGGGGAATTTGGCATTGGCCGCTATCAGAAGACAGGATAACTGAGCTAGATGGACCACTGGTCTGACCCAGTATGACTATTATGTGCACCTGCATGTTTGTTACTCAAAGACCCCTTCCTTTTGAACCTTCATTCTTTAATTTGCCAAAATATTGAGGAAGTTTGGCTTCAGCATTAGATGAGGACAAGGAGAACATTAAGATTCTAACTATCAATACAGATGGTTTCTGGGAACACAAATACAGGATCATTGGCTCCAGGAACTGAAACGGTTTACTATAAAAATGAGTCAAGGCATAGCATACCTTACCAATTACTAGGGTAAGCATCTTTCCCCGTGAGGTAGCACATCAGGGTATCAGAAATTGGGAGAACACTGCATTGGAACCACTAAGTTGTGTGAGGGGCCCTGCCCCTCTTTTAATCTTTGTCCCAGTTATTTACAGGTGTCCCAGACTGATTAGAGCAGCAACACTGCTCTGAATTGTGCAAAGCACAGCAAATTAGCGTAAATAGCAAGAGACAGTTGTAATCTAAGTTTGAAAAAATATGAGAATCAGATGGAAGAGATAGTGTCCTTTCAAGGGTTTAGAATGGCAGATGCCATTCCTTTGCAGTTTTCTTGGATAGTTCTTAAGATGTGTGCATGTTATGCTTATCCTCTTTTGTATGCGAAGAGTTGCAATCTGTGCTTACATGCTAATCAACTACACACCCAGCACCTCAAGGTAACCAAAATACTAGTGAAATAAGCCCTGTTAAAATGAACATCTAGTCTGTTAGCTCCTTTATCAATGTTACCTTAAAATAGTGAGCAGAATACCTGTTAGAAATTCAGGTTTAACAAGTCTTTGTTACTTAGGGGGAATCTGTTCAGTCTGTCCCATTTCTGCTACCCTTTGTCGCAGAGCAGGTCCTTTTGACCACGGCCTCACGCACGCATTGCCCATTTGTCACACAAAGGCCACTCACAGAAAACGTAGGCCGCTGACACTCTGAGAAAGCATAACTTGTAAGCGCACAAATGCAGCTTTCTGTGAATGGAATTTAACCTTGTAGGCATTTAAGAACAGGGAGGTGAGCATGAAAAGATAGAGCACAGCTGCAAGAGATAACTAAGACTCTCTTGACCGGTCCTTGAAGGTAGGGAGGTAGACGTAGGGAGATAAGACACAACTGCCATGCACACTGACCATGCTCGCACCCGGCACTGTCCACAGGGCCATCAGGCGGGCATCGTGAAAAATCCTAGAGGGGAATATTGCACATTACCTCATTACCAGCCTATCAGGCCCAGCCAACAAACAGACCCTAATAAGGTACCGGATACCAGGTTGTTATAAAAGACCATCGACCCCTTTGTTCAGGGAGGTTCCATGTATTGAGGGCATGTGTCTTTTTGCCCAGCTGAAGGATTAATCACCCTGAGTCAAAGATGGGGTGCACGAGTTCTGAGCATGCTCCGAGTTCTAATGTCTTTATGCTGTTATCGTTGCTAGATTTGTAAGTATTTCTTAAATATATTAGTTATTGGTTTAGTTAATAGTTGAATCATGTTAATTTCACTGTAATTCTGTAGAGTGTAACTGAGTTATTAACCACACTGTGTAAATTGTATAATCTTGTGTTGTATAGTGGTGTTGTATTTAGGCCAAGTATAAGTGTTAGAAAACAGAAACTCAGGAGTTGTTAAGTTGTAGAGGTAAATTAATGACTAACTCCACCAGCTGCCCTAAAATAACCATAGAGGGGCTAGCTTTGGACGGAGCTTTTATCATCATTATATTGGCTTTGTCTTTGTATTTTTTGCTTTCATGCTGTGCTGTCTTAAGCGAATTAGAGACAGTGATTTAATATAATCTAATCACAAAGTTTGTAATCAGTTAAGTGTAGTTTGGTTCAGTTTTCCCCTCCTGTAAAAGCATTAGGCAATTGCTTGTTTTACAATTAATTTAAAAGTCACTTGATTTTTTAATAAAAGAACCATTCTGTTTAATAAAAAAAAAAATCATTCGTTTCACCATCATCCAGTAGTTTTCACTGTCTTTTTAACCCTGGGGGCTCCCATCACATCACCGAACCAAGTTGCAACACTTTCCATGTGGCTGGCCTGTGCACTCACTTAAAACACATGATGGATTAGAAGTACCACTTCTGCAAGACAGTTTTACACCAGAAAACCAAAGAGATTAAGATGTAATAACTCAGTAAGAAAAAGCAATAAATGGAAGAGTTTCTGGTACAGACCCAGTCATTTCAATATTTAATATTAGCCAGAAGGATGAGGCTACTGGTCACGAAAGAGATGAATTAAAAACGGTCATCTTAATGTCAATACTGATTTTCTCAGGATTTACTTTCAATTCAAATGTTTATTTTAGCACTTGCCTACAAAAAGGTAACACAATAGCACAACAACATGTTTAACATCTTCCCAGTTTGTACATGGTATATAAAAAGGATTTTTCTACACCCAAAGGATTTTTGCTCTTGTACATGCGATCATAAAATATACACCTCCATTTTTGTATTCTGCTTCCCAGGTGAACATGTTATGTAGAATAAAGTTTCCTTTAAAATGGTTCTAAAGCAAAAGAATAGACCGCTCAATAGCTCAGAATTGTCATCTTTGAACATTAGATCGTAATTATGGCGGATTTTCTGACTGCAGCAGATAATCACTCCAAACATCCACTCTCCAAAATTTGTTAGCCAAAACCACCATATGTCTAATTTAATTTCAGCTCCAGAAATGATCTGAAGACTTGTGCGATAGAGGATTTATTTAATAAAAGTGGATAATTATGAAGTACTTTTGTTGCTATTATGTTTCTCTTTTGTCTCACCTTAAAAAAAAAATATGTAGGTCGGCATTCTGCTAAAAAGTGAAAGGTTACATGCCTTGTGCTACCCAGCAGTGAGTGTAGTAAACTGTGTAAGGTTGCTCAGCTCAGCTACGCTACAACACTTCAGCCCAACCTCCTCTTTTCCTGGCTACGTACTCTGGCATTTCTACAAAGACTGTTATGTCAGGTGAGTGACTCATTTGCAAAATTATCTGTTAGTTTGTGTCCCGTGCCAGATTTGAACATTTGGTATTCCACTACACTGCTTCCAAGGGCAAATTTACCAAGTACGTTTTACTGAAACTCAATTTTGCTTCTTTTTTCCCCCCACTATTATTATAGGCAACTAGAAAAATCAATAGGCACCAGCGGCCTTTGACAATAAATACTGTAACTCAAATGAATGCTGATCCATATATAAATGCCTGTAGCATAAATGCCTGTAGCATCAAGAACAAATGTTTGACGTTGCCATTGGCCAATTATTTAATTTTTGGATCTACTGGAGTAATTGGATAGTCTAGCCAGGTCACAGTGCATAGCTGGTTTCATAATGCCCTTTTACATTCAGGTTCCATTGCTACTTGATTATGAAAGAAGTAGAACTATTTGCTTAAAAAAATGCAACCTAAAAATAGAGATAATGATTAGTCTGAGGTTCACATTTCACAAACTTCAACAGGTTACATTATTTTCAAGAACACAAAGTTTGAGCTTTAAGTTCAGGAATTTTCCAGTTATTTTCTGTTTAGTTCTTGTGCAGTTTTTAAAAAGTCTCAAATACAAGAATGTGTGAATGTAAATATCTTCATTAGGATCTTCAAGAAAGCTGTCAGCTATCTTCAGGAAAGTAACCCTTTTAACTTGATGTCATTAATATGAAGTCATCAAAACAATTCAGATCCATTCCTTAATGACTGATACTATTGGAAACAGAAAGACCACATTGCCAGTGAGAGAACTACTCAGTAAGGTGGTAGGCAAATACAAGAAGTTCTGCACATAACAGGTATGAATATTCTATGAATATTCCTGAGATGATTTTGTAGTCTGAATCCCCATGTGGGCCATTAATTTTAACACCTCCATTGAACTGGGCATCTGAGAGGAACCTATAGTTTCCATATCCAAACTGAAGGAACCCTTATTTGAACTGATAAGCGAGGCCCGCTAGTTACAAGCAATAGAAGATGGTCTAGCCACCAAAAGAAGATAGTAAGTTATTGCAATAGCTTGAATAGCTGCTGTGATTCCAAAAAATCTAGGGCCTAGAATAATTTAAGTTAGGTATTTTACTGGAAAAACTATTCCATAACATAATCTAGATGAATAAAATGACAGCTTATTTGTAGGATAGTGCAGGACTTGTAAAGCATTAGAAACCCAAATAATTCTTTACTGAATATTTCTGATATACTATCTCACCAAGATTTTATGTTATATAGCTACTTAAGAGGCAGACAAATTAAACAGATGCCTACCATTTACAGCAGCAGAAGATTGACACCGGACTCTCCTCTTCTAATCTGTATCTGCCTGAGTTTGGTAGATCTTTACACTGTGATACAAACTCGTGAAGTTCCGTCTCTGGAAAGCCATCTTGCTGGTAATGCTGAAGATTTAGTCATTCTTAGTAAGAATACAAAGCTGAATTGTGTATTTAGTCTTGCTATGGTTTAAATATTCCCCCTCATTAGCTGAGCACACAATTGTATAAACTGGGTTTAGAAGACTGCACATTCTGAAGTGCAATAAACATAGTATAGAAATAGTCTGACACTTTTCAGCTTTTCAAATGAAAGCGTGGGATAGGAAGGCAGATTGGTTGTGTCTAAACTAGGGCAAGGAAGGAAGAGAATCTGTTAAACATTTGCATTACTATTTTAGTCATTCTTTCTTAAATTAGTTTCCAGAAATCTTTGATCACCAACATTTCAGGATAGAAAGTTAAGTTTATGCTCTAAATTAATTTGCATGGCCTCAACTTGCCTCAGTGCTTTGCTATACATGGTAAAAAGTGGATGAACATTGACAACTATTATGCTTGTTCCCAAGGCAGTGAAATCAAATGGCAATTATCTAGCTGCTAAAAGTTAGGGTTTTCAGTAGAAAAGTTTCTGTAACTTTTTCATATTTCAACTTTAATTACCAGATGTGTACTGGCAACAGCACTGAAGGCTATGGGTTTTGTATTAAATATTCTTACATTTTTCTTCAGAACCAGAGAATAAAAGACCATGCCTACCTTAATTGTTTCATATGTATCTGTAATGAGTGCAATGAAAAGACTTAGCACCATATAGATAAACAGGCTGATGAAAGAGTAGAGGTAGAGCCGACTGAATAACCAAACCATGTAGCTTTTCTGCTGCATTTTTGCAAAAGTGGCAAACATGTCATCTCCATTGATCAGTGAGAAAAGGCATTCTGAAACCATGTTCAGAGACCGAAACTAGAGGAGGGAACCAAAAAACAACCAACATAGTACCATCACCAAGTTTGCTGCAGTCTTAGTTTTTAAGTAAAAGTGAAGAGCTGTTGAACATTGTTGCCTCAGCTACCCTATACTCTTTACAAGCATGAGGCACTAACCCAATCAAGTCTTCCTTCTGTAGAGACCTGCAGACCAAAAGGTGACTATGTGCATATTTAGCAGGGCAAGAATGCAGGATATAGCTATGACAATATGCACTGGTAAACTATATCCAAGCAAGAGAGGATTAGCTGTCACAGATTCAGATTGGTTCAGCTGTGAATAGGCTGACTGATGCCTTAGTTCTTATCCCTTTAAGAAAAGGATCTGAAGTGTAAAGAGAGAATTTACTCTTGTGCAGGGCTAAATTATTTCTCAAAACAGTGACTAGAAAGCCCAAGCATGTGATTAGGAATAATCTGGCCATACTTCTGACTCAGGACTCTCATAACAGTTGGGAGGAAAGTCTGATTGAGTCAATATTGCACTTGGTCAACCTGCAAAATTATGGATGGGTAAGTCTCTAGATTCTTAAAGACTAATAGAGAAAGTCTTGAAACTGTGAAGCTTAGCCATCGCTCTTATTTAGAATTCATACCAAATAAGCATCTATTCAGTTTAAGTGAGTGGTTTTCAAATGGTATTTTGGTGATTCCTTTCACATAGTAAGCCTCTGAGTATGATCCCCTTATACAGTTAAAATGGAAGGAGTAATTTAATGGAGGCTGAGAGCCCATCCACATCACAGAGTCAACAGCTTGCAACCCCAAAGGGTCACAACCCCCTCTGACAACCCTAGTTAAATTTGTAATATTTCTGAGTTTTAAACGGAACATTACCTTAACATGATATGGTCCCAGTACAATCCAGCCACAGAAACAATAGCCCAGATAGATCATAGCAGCACAACAGCAGAATCGAATGACATTGGGCAATGCTGATCGTAGTGTCAGAATAAGCAGCTGCAGAAACCAATATTAACAATTAGAATCCAGCCAGGTATGTATTACAGTTGTATGATAACAACAAACAAAATAAATACCAACAGCATGAAGATCCCAGGAGATCCTTACATTATACTTCTGAAAGAAACCTAGGTATCGAATAACTCCAAGCCACACAAGCATAGTGGAAGTTCCTAGGAGGATACTACAGACATCATAACTTGTCAGACTCTATATTTTAAAAAAGCAAAGAACAAGTGTTAAAACCACACAGTTGACTAGATGTCTTCTTTTCTGTGCTAGCTTATGATTTGGACATTGCTACAAAAATCTTTCAAGAAGCCTTCTTTTCCTTTAAAGCCTCCATTTTGTATTCCAATATGGACCAAAGCCATTTCTATTTAGTGAGCAAAATCCTATTAATTTATACAGATGCAAGCAAGAAATGAGGAAGCATTTAAATTAAATTCAGTGCATTTCACACATGACAATTTTGTATTAGTAACTTCCTAGAACTGTCATTTTACAGATCAGATATAATCAAGTAGCTCAGACAAGTGCCACAGTTCTAGGAAGTTTCCAATGAGAGAGGTTTCAGTTTAAGAAGATAATGATTACAACTCAATATTTGTGTTCCATTGATTTTTCATTCTATGAACACCTACACACATTGGCCTGTCATCCAAGTGAATACATTTACTATCCTGTTTACAGCTGCAGTTCTCTGAAAGGTATCAGTAAGAAAAATTAACAGCACACTTTAGTGATAAAGTTTTCACTTTTTTGTATTCCTCTTAAGATGAGTATAACCAAACAGCTGGGTAGATTACATTCCTTTTTGTGTTATCAGTTGTTTCACATATTACTCAACTGTATTTGTGCAAACTTGCTGACGAGGGTTGCACAAGGTACAGTTTGGCTGGCAGCGTTTTCAGGCAGTTTACAATAAGGAAGGGTGTCTATTAAGATACCAGGTTAAGTTTGCAAGGCTTGTAGTGAGCTGCCTCTGCTTTTCTTGTGAGCGGATCACACACAATATGGAGTCTTAGACTGAACCCCACAATCCCAGTTACCATCGAGCCATTTCATAATGAAATGGCACACTAAGATTTCCAATCAGATGTACTCCTCTTTCATCATATACCTGGATTCCCCAGACCATACCATTATTCATTTTGTATTTATTTCTTGCTATTATTTCCAAGGATAGGCTTACAGCTTCTATAATTTGTAGTTGGATAGTCAAGGATTACTTGGAAAAAAAAAAGTCACCCTTCAACACCTGGATTTTCACAATTCTTTGATCAGACTAAAGCTGCTGCCCTTACAGGAATGCTGCAAAGATAATCTGGAGTTTTGAGGGCAAGTAGAAGTATTTGAATGCTATGCTATTTCAGGATAGAATATTTCTGCAGTTCTTAGTTGATTCTTATTGGACATGGTTTATATATCACTGTGCATGTTTGTAAGACTATTTAGAAACTAAGCATTTAGACCCTGGCATAAGCACTTCTAAAGGCAAAAGAAATGTTAAAAAGTAAATACCAATTTTGGCTGGTCGAATAAAAGATATTACCTCACCCACCTTGTCTCACCTTTTCAAAAATTATTTTTAATTAGGGAAGCAAGTTTTGATGCAACTAAAAATACCCTGGTCCAAAAAGCTTAAGTGACAGTGCTAGAATGGGTTAAAGATACCACTGTAGTATGTATTCAAATCTAATTTTGTCATGTATTGTAGCAAGATGTTGCCAGAGAACTCTTGCGGGTTGAATGTTTCCAAGCTGATGCCTGCTTAGTTGATGGAGACTGGGAGCTAGAGTTGCAGTGAAGAGGTGTTTTAGAAGTACTGCCTTGTCTCAAGATAATTGTAGGTACTGTACAGTGGTGCACCAAAAGCTGCAGATCCATGCCCTCCTAAATTAAAGAGTCATATATACCAAGTACAGCTGGCACTATGTGGGAGGAGAAAAATGGAAAGTGAATACAAAATTTTTTTAGAGTTAATTTCTTGAGAGAAGAAAATAGGCAGATGAATTTCTAAGGATATTCAGGGTTCTAAAGTCCAATGGACCATCACTGAAGTGAAATGCCCGACGACACAGTTTATTTTTGGTCCCCGCTAATTTGAATCCTCTTAACAGGATATTGCTTGGCTATACTTGAGGAAAAAAGTCAGACAGATAGAATTTTGAAGACAGTTTTGCTTCTGTACAGTAGATGAACATCTTACCTTAGCTTGTATTTCCATTTTTAGTGTTGAACCAACAATAGTTAAAACATCACTAACAATAATCAGGATGTACCACCCATTAACAAATTCCATTTGATCAGTGAAAGATACTTCTTTCTTGTAGTGATGTAGGAAAAAACTTACAAATTCCTAGAGGAAAGAAAAATAAAAAGCAGCTATAATCAAGCTTTAAGTTTAAAAGGTTCATAAGCATTCCAGAGGACAAATTATACCCACCCTTTGGAGCCTAATTCCTTTAACTACTGACCGTATGCAGAGCATCAGTGAGGCTAAACAAGTCAGTATGACAAAGGCATCAAAGATCATCATGTAATGAGTATTCTTTTGTACTGCAAAAACAAAAAATAAGAACAAAACCAAGATGTTGATAATAGTGAACAAACACATAATGGATTTTGTCTGTCTACAGTATTCATTTAACTCAGTCTTAATCTCTATGTATAACCAGTTTGGATCAAAATTTATAGTTGTATCCATCAAATCTTACTAATTTCAAGCTCATACATCGCTGATGAGTTATGTCATACTGAGACCTTTATCAAGTTGTAGGCCTAAATCATACCAGTGTATTGTACTTGTGCTTAAGACAAGCCACCTGGAAAGTTATTTCAATATTGTATCTTCTGCCTCCCTCATATTCAAGAGGCAACAGCTTTCAGCTAAAACCTATTTAGTTTTTTACTGTCTTTCTTGAACAAGTTGTACAGATAGCACCATGTTACTTACTGTTTCATGCCTCTAAAAATAACTCCATATCAAAATGTTAGAGGAGTCTCCAGTACCTCATGAGAGCACGAGCTATTGTTCCTCATTTTACAGTTCTAGAAATGCAAGCCTTACAAAAACATTCAGTGACAGAGTCAAGAACTGATCCCAGATCTTCTCCATTCCAGTCCAGTCTTAACCACCCTCAGAGCAACGTAAGTTACTGTTACATCTGCACTCGGCAGTCACAAGCCAAGTATTTTAAGCAGAGCTAAACATCAGTTAGTCACCAATGTTGCTGTTAATAAAGTGCATGAAGAATTTGAGATTAATACATTTAGGCAGGTGAAGGTTTGCACTATAGCTGCTTAGAGGGTTAAGACATTTTATTCTAGAGTTTCCTATAAAACTAACATATTTGAACCCTTTCCATTCTCACGATTAAAGGTTTTAGTGCTAAAAACATTGTTTGCTTTAGACAACCTCTGTCTTCCATGAAAGGTATCCTAGTAATTTCATTTGTGTTTGGAGTGGTTTAGGGACTAGAGGGGTAGCTATGTTTTGTTTTTTTAAATACAAAGACTGAGTAGTCCTGTAGCACCTTAAAAACCAACAGATATATATCATGAGCTTTTGTGGGCAAAACCCACTTCCTCAGTGAGCAAAGGAAGTGGTTTTTGCCCATAAAAGCACATGATACCATATGGGTGTGTCTCGACTGGCAATTTTGTGCAAAAACTTGCCAGCTGTCTACACTGGCCGCTTGAATTTATGCAAGAGCATTGACTTTAATGTACAAAATCAGTGCTTCTTGCGCAGATACTTTCACGCTCCTGCTAGGGAACAAAACCCTCTTGCGCAAGGGGGCCAGCATAGACAGGGAAGAACTGTTTTGTGCAAAAATCGCGTCTAGACTGGCCACGGATGCTTTTGCACAAAAGCAAATCTCTTGCGCAAAGGCACTTGCCAATCTAGATGCGCTTTTGCAGAAATACTTATCGGAAGAATTTTTCCATTAAAAGTATTTCTGCAAAATCGTGCCAGTCTAGACGCAGCCTATATGTATATATTAGTTTCTAATGAGCTACAAGACTACTCATTTTTTATTCACTAGAAGCTTTACAACTGGCCATCGATCCAAGTAGGTTTTGAAACAAGATATTAATCTAAAAATAGGATACTGATGTGCTAACTGATCTGAAGGTGGTACCTGCTGCACCATCCTGCAAAAGATAGACGTTTACCTTTGTGTGTGTATGTGTGTATATATTAGTTTCTAATGAGCTACAAGACTACTCATTTTTTATTCACTAGAAGCTTTACAACTGGCCATCGATCCAAGTAGGTTTTGAAACAAGATATTAATCTAAAAATAGGATACTGATGTGCTAACTGATCTGAAGGTGGTACCTGCTGCACCATCCTGCAAAAGATAGACGTTTACCTTTGTGTGTGTATGTGTGTATATATATATAT